AATTTTCTCAATATTTGCAACGGAAGTGCCATGAAAGAGCATCAATTCTTTGCCTGAAAAGTTACTGTCATACTTTTTCATCATTGCTTGGAGTTTCACATTATACAATTGATAAATTTCTCTATTTTGAATTCTTTCGATGCTGACAATATGATTCAAAGCAGTTCTATGGAATGCAGTTTCAACATCCTTGTATTCTTTACTGCTGGTGGACAAATTGATCTTGTTGAATTTTCTTTCAGTCAGTGAGCTATCCCAGTAATGTGGAACTTAACATGGATATAATAGATATATAGTAGTTAGAGTAATAATCAATTTATAAATTAAGAACATACATGGTAATTATTGTAACTATGTTAACCTGTCCCAATCTAACGCCGGACGAATCTATTTCACACGTTAATCAGTGTGTTGTTTCAATAAATTTAAATACGTGGGAGTGGACGAGTATATCTGGAATAGATCGGATGCGAATGCTTTGTATTTAAAAATTTATTTTTAGATGAATTTTACAGACAATTTACCAGCTCTGATTTTCATCATAACCAGTGCCTTTTTAACTATATATCTGGGGGGGGGGGCAATTGCCCCCCAAGGGAAAGAATTTTCCCCCAGTAAAGCCATTTCTGCCCCGGAAGTGCGAAGCAGAATTGCTCATGATTGCTGTCAGAATTGCAGTTGATTTACTTGATAATGAGATTATGCCCTTCCATAGCCTCCTCCACAGCCATCTTGTGTGTAATTCATATTGTTCTTCACCGAGTATTTCATAATAGCGATAGATTTCATGCAAACAATCCGATAAAATGCTAGCCTTTCCAAGCCTTGCGACTATTTCCTAGCACTCTCCTCTGCAGAGGCGTTGTGTTTTGTTTTGGGAGTTTTATTGCAAAATTTTTTTCTTAAAAATATCAAGTTATATAAAGAGCCCCCCTCCCCTCCCCCAGTCGCCACAAAAACCATTCTCTCAGAAAGGCTAAATCCGTAGAGAAATTGGGGAGGGGGGGGGGGTACACGTTACATGCTCGAAGCTGAAACTGATTAAGTACGTCTCGACTGAGGAAAAAGACGATATACTGGAGGAACTTGATTTGTGAAATCTCGTTAAAGCAGTTGTAGATATGGTTCCAAGAAGAATAGATTTAGTTTAGCTGTAGCTGTTAAATACATGTAATCATCATAGCATGAATATTTTTTCTCAGACTTATTCTGTATTGTATGAAAAAGCAACACAATTTTTGGAATGCGGAAATGGTGTCTCATGGAAACTTAATATAAAATGATTTAAAAGCAACATTTCTGATCAAAATCTCATTGGGATCTCCCC